AGAAACAACTGATTTACGGTTGAAACACGAATTGGACAGAGGTACCCAAGCAATTGACTTTTGTACAAAGGGTCCGTTCTATGCCGGAACCACATGGTAAATGGGATAATTGTAGTAAACTGACAAAATTCTCAAAAATAACTAATTACTTTAAAATAATATACCGCGCAAAGTTAGTACAAGTTCCTAGTGTTATAAATAAAAAGGCTTAATATTTTATGTAAATCAAAAGATTAATCTACATATAAAATATTACATAAACTATTTTATATAAATTGTATAAAAATCTAAACATTAGGTAAAATTTTCACATATTTATATTGCAACTTATAAATATATTAAAAACTATATTGCACAAAATTTCTATCTGTTCTCCTTTAACCAAAGGTTATCTGTAACAGATTGCTTTAGCGATAAAACCGCCTTTTGCACCTTTATATGTCTATTTCAATCTGTATTCATGTTACTGTATTTCACTTGAATTATTTACTTGTCATTGTATATTTTTATGGTGCAATAAAGAGTTAAATAAAAATAAAAATTGACTGTTTTTAGTAAATAAATATATAAATAAATAAACTTTTACAAAAGTCGTTTACGTGGGTATTTTTGGCTCTCTCGTGTTTCTGCCCAAAAGAAAGAAAGAAATAATTTAATCAAAGAAGCATGCGACCTACACAATAGCGCACGAAACAAAAGAAACTAAAACAAATCAGACAGAAAAAAATAGTATACAAATAGAAAGTAATTAAATTAAATTCAGTTCAATTAAAGTCTAAATTAAAAAAAAAAAACAATAATAATAAAAAAATAAATAAACAAACAACAAACAGTAGGATAACTCTTGAATCCAACATCGATATCAATCCAAAAGTGTAGGGTATGGCAGTGAAATTACAGAGTCCGTTCTCTGTAGCTCTGTAACTATAATACCTTAATTCTCAGAAACTTTCACACATTTATTTATTTACTAGCTAGTTCCCGCGGTGCTACCCGCGTGAATCGGTATATGAAACGTCCTGAGTTAAAATATGATATACAACTTACCTTCATAAAGTTTCAGCCAATTCAACTGATTGGTTATTTTATAGCATTTTATATGTGATTCTTTAGATTGATATAACTTTTTTATTTATGAACCGATTGAAATAAAATAAACATTAAATGTCAAGTGAAGCATACCGCAACGTATTAGTGAAAACCGTATTCAAATCGGTTCAGTCGTTTCCATGATAAGATCAGATAAACAGTCAAAAATTCTAAAAAGTATTCATACTTAATGACACACATACAAAAGGAAAGAATGAAAGAGAAAGATAAAGAAAGAACACAATAAAATAGTAAGCACTATTTTAGAAAAGGAGAGATAGTAGGATTTAACAGAGGTTTTAAAGCTAGTTAAAGTTTGAATTATGGGCATTACAATGAATTCTGTAACGGCCATGGTGTTGTTCATATTTATAGGCAACAATTACCATGCCCATTTACGTTTACTGTATAAAAAAATATATTATATATAAAATCGTTACCACATTTATCAAAACGATAGACGGCGAATAAAAGTATAAACGTATTCCGTTAGCTAAGTAAGAAATTTGGTAACAATAGACGCAAATTGATTAACAATAGAATGGCCGCAAATCGAGCCAAACTAATAGTTTCTTTACCGTCCGTACTAGCAACGTGCCTCATATCCTCACAATAGAAAAAATCTCCCTCCATTTATCAGACTGAAACAGCGTAAAAAAAGAAAAACAATTCCTCTCCCCCATCCAACGCTTCCATTTATATTTGGTTGAATTAATCAACGCAGTCACGATCGTCCATAACGGTCGCACGAACTAAAATATCTGATAACTTCCACAAAGAACTTAGGAGGGAGAGAGAAAAAAAAAACTTTCGTTGAACACTACTTGCCAACTTCTAAATGATGCCATGGCCGATGGATATTCAAGTTTTATGTAGTGGCATTATTGTGTTGTAAACGGGGAGCGGTAAAAAATGATTGGGCTATTCCATTGTTTTCCACGTTTCCAACTTGGAAACAGCGGAATCGATGTCTGTTTTTTTTTCTGTTATAGTTCCTTTTGTTTTATGAAGTGTCTTATGTGGTAGGCTGTAGATTTCAGCTGTGGGATAATTAAGAGAAATTATTTTAGTAGTTTTAGATTTTTTTTTTTTTGTAATTTTCATATATTATTTATTTTACAATGGATTTCGAAAAGAAGGAGAATTAAATTGTATTTTTTTTATGTCTGTTACCTCATACTTTCGTTAGTTTTAAACCGATTTGGGAAATTATTTTTTTTATATGAAAGGGTATACTTACACTTTGGTCTCATAGAAATCATATCAAAATCGGTTAATTAGTTTTTAAATCAAAATAACTAGTTTTGTCACATTTTTTTTTTATACAACTTAGAATGGCAAACAAGCTGAAGGCCCACCTGATGGAAAGTGGTAACCGTCGCCTATAAACATGAGCAGTACCATGGACATAACAGAGTATACTGTTTCGCCTATGATACCCTCCATGCGTTGCCATTCCTGAGGACTCAGGTGTTATTCCTCTGTACCCAGTAAATTTACGCTATATTCCACCCTTCAAACCAAAACACAGCCATGCAAACACAACTGCTTCACGGTTGAAACATGAATGGGACAGAGGTAGCCAAGCAATCTTCTTTTGTACAAAGTCTCCCTCTATATATTAGGTTCCTCTGAACATTGATGGCGGAAAAAAGGGCATCGCCTATTCCAATATCACTCATATCAGCCGAAATGAATATATTATTTCGATCTGGTTATTCATTTTAATATTATGTATAGCTACCCTACCCCTAGTTAATAATAAATACAATGGAAACAAAATAATTGCATTTGAAATTCGAAATCATTACTAGTAGAAGTACTTACTCTTCAAAGAAAAACGGCAGTTTCAGTTGTAACAAAAACAATAATAAATAATAATATAACCACAAAAAAAAAACCAACAAAATTGGAGTCACTTGAAAATCAATACATTTACTAAGAAATCATTTTCTAAAGTTCTCACGTAAATAATGGATAGCGCACGGGAGGAGGGACGGGATCTTAAAAGCATTCGGTAACTTACCGTTTTTAGTGTACGAGTACTTAACAGTAGTGTATTTTACTCGCAATTCCGACTCTGGTGCTAATAAAAATTTCACGAGCTAAGCCATCGCTTCGTTATAATTTTATTCAAACACAGTTGTTTAGGACCGATTCATATTCAAGTAGAACTGCATTTACACAGATGCGAATCCGCAATAATTTTTTATGCAACTTAAAATGGCAATCAAGCTGAGGGCCCACTAGATGGAAAGTGCTAACCATCGCCCATAGACATGAGCATGACATATCATTATAACAAAGTATACTTTAATTTATATTTTAATTATATTTTGATAAATAATTGTTACTTGATGAAATGTAAATTATAGATAGATCGATAGATACTTTTTATTGTTTCCTCCAAAAGATTACAATAGTAAACTTATTATAAATATAAATAATTACAAGAAATAATCACAATGAGAAAACAATGGGCGACCTTATCGCTAAGAGCGATCTCTTCCAGGCAACCTTTGGATGGAGAGGAGTAATTATAAACAATTTGGTAGGAGGTATGTCAGACACTTTAGTATATTGTAAAGGTGAACTAAAATTCTTTACGTTACAGAACACATTCATATTAAGAATGACGGTCTCGAACACGTAATAAAATGCACCTTAATAATTTTGTATTTCAATATATTTTCTCAATACCCTCTATCCAAAGGCTGTCTAGAAGAGATTGCTTAGTGATAAAGCCCCCTTTACTATCATTTCTCATTAATATTCACTGTATTTTTTTTTTAGTAGTTGCAATAAAGTGTAAATAAAAAATAATATTTTGGAGACAAAGATGAATGGATGATTGTTACTCTTTCATGCAAAAACTACTGAACGGATTTGAATAAATTTTAATACACGGGTAGGTTATATCCTAACTTAGCACATAGGATACTTTGTGTACCAATTCGCGCATGCAAAGCCGCAGGAAACAGTAATACATATTTGGCCGTTGTGTCGGTGTGACTGCCAGTTTACGCGTAGGCGGCATAACGCCCCAGTATTACTTATTAAAGGCACACTGAAAAGCTACCTTCTAATTAGCTCGTAACTTGTAAGATGAGACCATTCCTTTGGGAGCCATGGCTTTTAAAGTGATGCCGCTGAGCCAGTTTTTGCTCGTAAATAACCAAATGACAACCGACTTTCGAGATACAAAGTTGCGCGTTTGTGAAATCCGTTTCAGTTATTTTAACTTGCAATATAAAGTTTAAGGTTGTTTAATACAGTTACACAGAAACAAACTTGGCATTCGAATACAAATACATTAATTATGTTAGTCGTTTATAACGTTTTAGTTAATATTGAATTACGATAGATACAATTTATATATTTTCAGGTTTTGTTCAGAGCGATCTTACAAGTATCTTTCTACGAATAAGCATTTTATAAACACGTTAACTAAGCAAAATAAGACAGACGAAAAAGCATAAATAAAAAACTTGTGTAAGCACATTTATATAAAATTTTATAAATATATAAATCATTTTATAGTTATATTATAACTATTAGTATTCTTTCAAGAGTGTTCTGTTAGTAAAATAAAATATTTTTCATGAAAAAATATGAATCCAAAAATGATATTTATCTTTTGTTTTATACTTAAAAATAAAGTGTAATATAATTGGCTCAAACAAAGTGTTTATCTAACTGTCTATATATACTTTTTTTCAAATTCGTATTTGATCTTAAAAATTGGATGCCATATAAGCTTAAATGTAATTGGCATATTTAGACTTATGCGGTGGGTATAGCTAGTTGAATGAATACTCTCTTAAAAGAATGTTAATGAGTACAGTTTTTTTTTAGTAATACAAGCTATATATCGGTACACTAACATGAAAATAACAAAATACGAGGCCTACCAGTAAGACATGGGTCCTCCTTGGTTCTGTCATCGACAAATCGAGACTTACCTGAAACAAATAAATAAATATTCAGCATATGAAAAAATTAATGTAGTAATGATTACTTGCTCTATGTAAAAAAATGATAAACATGATTTAAGTACACTAGTTCTTTAAGTAAATCAAAAGTAAAGTAACGTGACATTATTAACTTACAGATATACCTAATTATATTATTATTATATCTATCTATCATGAGAACTAACACTTTAAAGTTTTTACTTACATTTCTGAAAAGATATAATTTAAACTAATTTAAACATGTTCACACTTTAAATTAAAGTACTGCACGTTAAATAACGTAATTCATTTCATTATCACTATATAGTATAAAACAAAGTCGCTTCTCGTCTGTCTGTCCCTATTATGGGTATATCAATATAAAATTTTAATAATATTAGGTGACGGTAGTTTAATAAAACACTTGTCGTACGATCGTCGTTTCAATGACACTTATAACAGTCTCTATGTATGCTTAGATCTTTAAAACTACGCAACGGATTTTGATGCTGTTTTTTTTAATAGGTATAGTGATTTAAGAGGAAGGTTTAAATGTATAATAGTAAAAATATATAATTAAAGTCCGATTTTTATTATAATTTGCGCTACCCATGATAGTAATGGAACAAATTACTTCACCTTGTTATCTCCTCTAATTTCCACTGCCTATTTGAGGAAGTGCCACTGACATACGAAACTGTTCAATTAGAGTGGTGAGTTATTTGCTAAATAACCGGAAAACTCTTTTAGATAACATCACAGAACAACTGCATTTCGTTTTCCAAATTTAAATTCCAAATTTTGTTCCACGACAAAATGTCGACTTCATAAGTCACAAAATAAGTAAATTTAATTTAAAAACTAAATTACTGAATCGATTTTTATACAATTCCTATGGAAACAATCTGAAAGGATATCCTTACAAATAAAAGAAATTATTTTCCAAATCGGTTTATCAATGACGGAGTTATGAGGTAAAAATATATAAAAAAAGCAAATCAATGAATGCAGATGGCTCAGGACCGTTTCTTATGACAGTCTATGGGAGAGGCCTATGTCCAGCAGTGGACAGATAAGGACCGGTATTGAAGAAAGTATAAAAAAATACTACCGAATTGAAAACCTCCGTCTTTTTTTAAATTGAGTATACATCATAAATAAATAAGTGGTTTTACCACGATTAATGTCGATGGTTTTTGTGTGAAACAAAATATTAAATTATGGAGGAAATAATTCATTTATTTATTTATTAAAAGGAACGCCAATAGCATTTTTTTTATACAACTTAGAATAGCAATCTAGCTGACGGCCCACCTGATGGTAAGTGGTAACCGTCGCCTATAGACATGAGCAGTACCATGGACATAACAGAGTATACTGTTTCGCCCATGATACCCCCCATGCGTTGCCATTCCTGAGGACTCAGGTGTTATTCCTCTGTACCCAGTAAATTCATGCCATATCCCACCCTTAAAACCGAAACACAACCATGCAAACACAACTGCTTCACGGTTGAAACACGAATTGGACAGAGGTACTCAAGCAATCGACTTTTGTACAAAGTCTCCCTTGAGTTTGGTCAGCATATTGCAATTTAACACATTTAACAAACATTAAATACAATACAATATTAATGTACGAGGTCCGTCCGGAAAGTTCGTATAAAAGTGTTCTGGAATGCGAGAAAGAGGAGTGGGGAGGCCAGGTAAGCGCAGGACCCCTTCCTTATGTCCCTAACAATGCTTCAGTTCTGGTCTGACCGCCGTGCGGTGCGAACTGGCTTGTCACGCCATCTGTGAAGTTACCTCTTAACGAAACCCCGTCGGCATGGAGCCCGCTTCCGTTGAAGAGCAGCGCGTCGTAATCAAGTTTCTCTCGAAACTCGGCAAGAATGGCCGTGAAATTTTTGCCGATCTAATTCGATAAGACATCCGGGGAACCACGAACAAAAAAATCAAGAAAATCCCGCTCAAATGTCAAGACAATGTTGATTGTTTTTTTCGATGTTCGGGGGATTGTCCATCAAGAATTCGTCCCTCCAGGCCAGACAGTTGATGGAAAATTCTACGTCGATGTGCTCAGACGCCTCAAAGCTCGTGTGGCACGAGTTCGTCCAGAATTGGCGCGAGAGGGGCGTTGGATTCTTCACCACGACAATGCCCCTGCCCACACCTCTCTTGTTGTCCGTGAGTTTTTGAGTAAAAATTCCATTACGGTGACCGAACACCCCCCCTATTCGCCGGATTTGGCCCCGTGTGACTTCTTCTTGTTCCCAAAAACCAAATTGGTACTTCGGGGGCGGCATTTGGGGGACATAAATGAGATAAAAAAAGCTACGACGGGGCAGCTGAGAAACCTACAACCAGAGGACTTTCAAGGAGCCTTCTCACAGTGGAAACGGCGTTGGCACAAGTGCATTATGTCACAGGGGGAGTACTTTGAAGGGGATAAAATTGATTTACCTGAATAATTGTAAAATGAAATTTTTAAAAAACTTTTATACGTACTTTCCGGACAAACCTCGTACATGCCTGTTAAAGCTATTTACAGCATTTGCTTTAAAATAATTATATAGTATGAAATGAAGTAAACAGTTTTAAATAATAAAGAATACCATATATACCCTCATCAAATAATGTAAAACGATATTTCTTTTTCCTTAAAAATCTTACACCAACTTGATAATGTTCAAGTTTCCGAGATGCAGCGTTAATATTTGTCACGTCAGTAAGAGGATTGATGGTTCAACGATTGATACATACAAGAACAAGTCAAAGTTTCCGACGAAAAAAGTTGAGCCAGCGAAAAGAAATCGCCTCTTGTTCACCGCAGAGATCTTTTGAAAACTTTAATAAATCACTCCCTTTTTAACTTTTGAAGTGACCGCGCGTTTTTGTGTTACAAAACGCTATTTTTGTCAACTTGCTGTTTTTTTTAATGGATGATAACTTAATACAATTATAAGGAGGATAATTTGAGTTTTTAACCGACTTCAAATGGAAGGTTCTCAGTTTGGTTCTACCTTTTTGTTTTTGTTACCTCATAACTCTGTCAGTTCTGAATCGATTTGGAAAATTATTTTTTTTATCTAATAGGATATATTTACAGATTAGTCCCATATGAATTTAATCATTATTAGTTATGTAGTTTGGTTTCTAGATCAGAATAACTAGTATTGTTACAACTGAAGTTGATTTTTTTGTGAGATACAATTTTTAATAGATCAAATGTGGCAACTCCTGGCAAAATTCCCCAAGAGGCAGACCTATGTTTAGCAGTGGATAGTTAACGACCGATATAGCATATTTTGTTTAGTAAAAAAAAAAACATTAATTCAATAGTGAATCAGCAAAAAACGAGATCTTTCATATTACACAAGTATCATAAATTAAAAATATTTGAATTTAGAACACGAAATGACGTGTCTACAAGCAGATTTTGCTTTGCAACAAATAGTTCGTAAAAAAATTATATTTTTAATTGTTTTTTTTTTTATTTCCTCTATTACTAAGTACGTATGTATATAGAATAATGCAATACTAACAGATATATACATATATAATATGATGTAAATAAATGTTATCTAGGAATCGAATGCACAACCATTAGAATATAAGGCATGTTAAACAGCTACACTGCGGACGTCGTCAAATAAATTTATGCTTCATATAAATAAAGGTACTGGAGCTGCAATTTACGAAATGGATACGAACCGGTTATCACGACAAGGAGGCTCGTAAATTACACGGTGATAAACAAACGTACTAATTAATTTACTATGACAGACGGCTGTCTTTGATTGTATACGGAGAGCCGGAGATTGGACTGAATGATTCCCTTTGGGAATTTCATATCGGCCGATAGACAGATCAAGAATTATTACGTTCGTATTAATAAGTGTAAGCATATTAACAAACTAGTGACAGGCAATGGCTTTGCATGGTTTTCTAACCCTTTTTTACATAATAGTAGAAGTTTCCACTATTACATTGAATGCCCAAAAATTATATAAAAGATCAAGTTTAAGTTGATCTTGTCTGGATACCTTTTTAATATCCATTGCAGAAAAAAAACATAGCTGTCAAATTTGTTTTTTTTTTTATCATTTTTCCTTTAATTTTGAACATAAATTATATCACCTTGATTTATTTCACCAATAAAAAAAATCATGCAAAGAAGGAATAATATTAGGAATGACTTTTCTTAACCTACTTCAAAAAAGAAGGTTAACAATTCGGTTGTATTTCTTTGTTTGTTACTTTACAATTCCGTTACTTCTGAACTTTATGAGTGCATTCTTAGTTTCACGTACAAATGAAAATGGGGTTCGATTTCTCCGTAATTTTATCTGAATAATGGAAATTTAATATATTTCGCATTCCCGACAATTACTTTGAATTTATCTAGAAGTTTCGTCCAGGATGAGTACTGTGAATTTTATTATATATATACTCTTCTCCATCCAAAGGTTACCTGGAAGAGTATCAATGTATCTACACACACACATGTATATATATATACACACACATCTCTCTCTCTCTCTCTCTCTCTCTCTCTCTCTCTCTGTGTGTGTGTGTGTGTGTGTGTGTGTGTGTGATGTGTGTGTGTGTTTATACATATAAAGAGTTTGTTTACACGTATAACACGCATAAAATTACAAGAAAAAATGTTCGCAAGAAAAAATAATGGGAATAAGCTGCGTAAGGAATTTGACGTGAAAGGAGATTGATAAATAGTATTTTCCTAACTACGAGATAAGATAAATTTATTTTTTAAGTAATTCAAGAAGAAATCTCTCAATAGGATGATTCTTTAATGGCATAAAATTTATTTTAAATCTATCTATCTATCCTACTTAAGATCTGCGCTATTATCGGTGAAGCTCTTGCCACTCACTACGATTTTCAGCGAGTCTCTTCACCTCTCGATACGACACGACACCAACTATAAATTTTAAATATTAATCTTAAATTCACTGTGTATTTCCGGCATAGAATAGGCTACCCCTT